ATAAACAAGAGTAAAGACTGTATTAGTATAAACCAATTTTCAGGTAATGTTGAGTGAAAAAGTACATATTGCATGTCCATTGAAAGGGCCTAGATGTAACAGCACAGAGTAACATTAAGCATGCCTGCAGTCCAGGTTTGCTTTTGTTTTAGTAGGTAAATGGATTTTACTATATTTTTCTTGTAGTGAATTTTATGTGGTGGCTATGGCCACAGGTGGAGCCGGGGTCCTCTGCACTGAGACTCTCGTGTGGGTCTTTACGATATGGTCAGTAAATTCCTGATAAGACTTGCTGAATATGGTCTCTTCCCAGAGGTCAGGGGTGAGATAGCTAAGGGTCTTGGAGATGGCATCAAAGGTGGCCTTGGCAAAGTTGCCCAGGGTGGCTGTGCAGCCCCTGGCGGAGGCATAGCAGTCATTAATACTGGCCATCAGCAGCCGCTTCTTGGGCACAGAGGTGGAGACGATGCCATCCTGGGGGCAGGGATGAAGCACACCAGCAGAAACCAGAGGGGTCAGTCACCTTGCAAGGGAATGTGAAGCTTGCCAATCTCGCTCCCCAGTAGCATCACCACACAGGGATGATGGGAGATTGACCAGGGTAATGGCCCCATGATGGCACTTAACACCCAGGCCAACATGTCTTTTGTAATCCGCAATGGCAACGAATGCCTTGGACCTGGTCCTTTGGTCACTTGGGTCTGCTTTTGCATGGTCTTCAAAACCTCATCCTTGGGAGGATGTACCCAGGAAAAAGTCAATGATTTCAGACTCCTTGATGGACAGGGAGAAGAGATAGATCTCCTTCAGAGACTTTATCATCATATCCTTGACCACGCAGCCCAGACTGGTGACAGGGATCCACTCCTTGTCCTCGGCCTTGCCCCTGTGAGCTCCAAGGCCATGGCCTCCCATTCCGGGGCCCCTGGGGCCTCTAGGCCCTGCCATCTTCTGTCATTTGGTATTTTCCCAGGGAAGAAGCCAGATCTGTTTGTAAATACCAATCCCTATTAAAAAGAATCAGGACTTCTTGGAAAAATGTCTGATTCCAGGTCAGAGGCAGGGAAAATGCTAGGTGAGCCTGTAACATCTTTTTGTGCCAAAAAGGAAATGCTCATTCAAGAGGGGTGGTGTCAAAAGGACAGTTATATCTGATAAGAGTCTAGTATCCAGAATATATAAAGGACTCCAACATCTCAATAAAGACAAATAATTTTAAAATGGACAAAGTATTTCAACAGACGACTCTCTTAAGATATACCAATGGCCAATGCACACAAGAAGCTCAACACCCTTAGTCATTGAGATACCACTTCATACTCACTGGGATGACTCTAATAAAAAAAACTTCCAGAGAACAAGTTTTGGGTATGATATGGAGAAATTAGAACCCTTATACATTGCTGGTAGGAAATGTGGAAAACAGTATGGTTATTCTGGTTAGGATTACCATATGACTGAACACTTCCACTCCTAGGTATGTGCCCAAAAGAACATGTGGTTACCCAAAAATGTATATATGAATGTTAGTAGCATTATTTATAATTACCAGCAATTGGGAATGACCTAAATATGCACCAACTGATGAATGGATAAACAAAATGTGGTTTATCCATGCAACGGGACATGACTTAGCCATAAAAAGGAATGATGTACTGACACAGACTACAACATTGAAGAACCTGGAAAACATTCTGCTAAATGGAAAAAAAACAGACACAAAAGGCCACATATTGTATGACACCATTTATGTAAAATATCCAGAATAGGTAATTCAGATAAAGAAAGATTTGTGGTCACCAGGGAATGGAGGTAGGGGAGAACTGGGACTGACTACCAACAGTTATGGGGTTTCTTTCTGGGGTGATGAGTATGTTCTGGAATTTTACACAACATAGTGAATATACTAAAAGCCCCCTGAATTAAAAATTTTTGAACAATGAATTTTTATGTTGTAAATTGTATCTCAAAAAGGAAAAAGCTTGTTGAAGAGGATCCCACTCATCAAATTTGGGGCAGTGTGACCATCAAAAAGAATTGTTAGATTATAAAACTTCACATTAAAAAGACAAAACTGAAAATTCATAGTCAAATTAACCACCCAACTAGGGCAAGTGGAGAGAAAACTCTCCTTTCTAGATGAATGCCAGCTAATATATATAGTAGGAATGATGGGGTAAGAAAATGACTGTTTAAGAACTCCTAATGTGTTGACTGATTTAGGGAAGAATCATCGGTGGATGCATAAGCCATGTGTAAAAGGTGGCTAAAGACCAAGCTATTCAATGGTACTACCACATTTTGATAGATCTGGGGACACCACTTTAAGGAATAAAACTCAGCGTCACCAACACAGGGTCAACCTAATATGATGAACTGGAACACATACAACCTCACATATGTAGCATTCTTGCAAAAAATATTTAACCTGAATCAGATCATGTGAAAACAATAAGAAAAATCCAGAATGGGATTTTCTTTAAGACAACTAGCTTAGATTAATATGTTCAGGGGTAAAATGCCCTGATGTTTAAAACTTTTTTAAATAACTTGGAGGGGGGAGTGTGTGTGTGTACTGAGAGAGATGAAGGGAGGGAAAGAAAAGGGGAGAAGCTATGTGACAAAAAGTTAGTAACTGGTGAATCTAGGTAAAAGAACATGGGTGTTCAATATACTTCTTTGAACTTTTCTGTAGGTTTACAATTTTTCAAAATAAAAATTGAGAAAATTTGTGTGGTAAATCAGCTTTAAAGAAAAATTCAATATGCTTAAAGTATAATAATCAGAAGTGCAATGCATCTCCAATATAGAGAATCCAATTTTTTTGAACATCTTTAACTCTTCCCCATTTAAATAGGTGAAGAGCAATATGGTAAGCAGCTCTGAAATTCCCCTATGAATCCTCAAGGCTTCTAAGTTAGTTAAGTGAAAATTACTTAGCCCAATTCAGACAACCAAAACTTGACCCAAGAGTGAGGAAAATATGTTGGACAATTCACAAATCCCACTGCACTTTACCCATAGCTCGGAAATCGACATAAATCAAAATATGGCTTTAAAATGTTTTTTTCTTTAATAGAAATACTGATAATTTCAAGTGAGAGAGCTATACATTTTTAGCTATATGATAGCTACCCCATATGATTAGCAGACAATTCAGTTATCTCCAATGGGATAATTTATCATAAAGAAAGCCAACAAAAATTGTAAGCAGTCTGGATTCATGTTTATTGAAGCCAGTAATTAGAGACATCTTATTTTCCAGCACTAGAAAGCAAGGTTCCACACGACTGCAAACTGCATCCAGATAGAGCCATACCCCTGGACTAGGGCTGGTGGGGGAATAATCTGCAGTCCTAATTTTAAGTTAAAAATATCAATAATCCTCATATAGAGACAACAGTGAACTTTCACTTACAGCATCAACATTTTTAAGGTCATGATGTACAGAGCAGTCACTTTGAACTTTGTTAAACTAATAAAACATGAAAACATCTTCAGTTTAAATAGTGATTTTAAAATGCCAATCAAAAAAAAAGTGCAAAAAAA